GTCAAAGAAGACAAACAAATAAAGTCATATTAAATGGGGCAACAAACAATGTCATATAAAAGAACATAGGAAAAACTTCAAATTATAGAATTTAGATAGGAGCAAGAAACACAGTCACATTGTACTACAACAGAGTAGACAAAAAGCAAGATTACAAATCAAATGAGAGATTTTGAGAGGTCCAAGGAACAATATATTATATTACAAAAACAGAGTGGAGCAAGGAATGAGAACACTTGATAAACGAGAGTGTCAAAAAGCAAGGTCCATTGATATAAAACGACGGAACATAGTTTTAGATCAAATAAGCAAATATACAATAAGAAAGGAGCCAAGATTATTTTAATAACTGTGTTCTATCATGTACACTGATCAGCCACAACATTAAAACCACTGACAGTTGAAGTGAATAACATTGATTATATTGTTACAATGGCACCTCTCAATGGGTGGGATGTATTAGGCAGCAAGTAAACAGCCAGTTCTATAATTTCATGAATTGGAAGCAGGAAAAACAAGCAAGCAAAAAGGACCAAATAGTTATGGCCAGATGACTGGGTTAGAGCATCCCGTTGTGTTCCCGGTGTGTTCCCGGTATGCATTGGTTAGTACCTACCAAAGGTTGTGCAAGGAAGGACAACCAGTAAACCAGCATCAGCGGCATGAGTGTCCAAGGTTCATTGATGCATGTAAAGAGTAAAGGCTAGCTTGTCTGCTCTGATCACACATAAGAGCTACTGAAGCTCAAATTGCTGAAAAACTTAATGATGGCCATGATAGAAATGGTTCAGAACACACAGTGCATTGCAGTTGTATGCGTATATATGGCTGTGTAGCCACACACCAGTCAGAGTTCCTGTAAAAACACTTGTCCACTACCTAAAGTGCTTTCAATGGGGATAAAACTATACCATGGAGTAATTGAAGAAAGTTGCCTGGTTTGATGACATCACATTTTCTTGTAGGTCAGATGGATGAATGGGTGCATGTACGTCATTTACCTGGGCAAGAGATGGCAGCCAGATGCACTATGGGAAGAAGGCAGACCAGCCGAGGTAGCGCTATGAACTGGGAAATGTTCTGCTGGGAAACCTTGGGTCCTGGCAAGCATATATATGTTACTTTGACATGCACCATTTACCTAGAGATTGTTGCAGACCACATACACCCTTTCATAGCAATGGTGTTCCCTGATGGCA